AAGAAATAAAGAAAGAAAGAAAGACAGAAAGAAAGAAAGAAAGAAAGAAAAAGAAAGAAAGAAAGAAAGATAAAAATGTTTATCGTATCCTGCCAATATCTTATCGACGATTCTGTTTTGATTGCGTGGAAAGAGGAGAAAAGATATTTCAGTGAGATAGCGAAAGAAAGAAAGAAAGAAAGAAAAAGAAAGAAAGAGAGAAAGAAAGAAAGAAAAAGAAAGAAAGAAAGAAAGAAGTATTTAACGGCTGTTTCATTGAAATAGAAAAAGTTACCAATTTCAATTTTTTTTCATTTGTACCCACTTCTTAAAATAACGATCAGCATTCATATTTATAATAGTTATTTCAATACTTTGTTAAAGTTGTTAAGCTCAAATATTTAACGATGCGATGGGGAATTTTTGCGGGTATTTTATTGTCGTATAACCCGCCATGAGTTTTTTTCAATCATTAACTTAATAGCTGAGAATTAAGATTCATCAGAAAATTCAAATAGGAAAACCGTGAAATTTTCAGGGTTATTTCTAGTTGTTGTTGTTATTGTGGGAGAGAGCAGGATGCAACAATATGCTGGGGTACAAATATACGAAGTCCAACGGAACGATCATGGTACCCTGTCTTATAAGGGTATACTAAATACAAGGCATACGTACGCGATATGATAACCGGCTTCTGTTCTGATCAAAGCAAAGGATAACCATACATGTGGGCGGAGGATCAAGTTAGAAATACCGTCAAGTTAGGCAACTCAATCCGCTTAGACAGTCTTCGACTGAGACTGTTCCTAAATATGTGGGTGTGATTCCCGAGTTAACTAGATTACCTTATCCTTCAGATTAAAAAAATATATACTATAATCATTCTTACTCCAGCGCATGGAGAGATATGAAGAGTGCGTTAAACAATTGAAGATATACACAACTGGCAAGTAGATCTTTAGAACTGAATAGGTTATTTAAAGTTTTCCAGGTTAATTCAAGGAAGCAACTCATGTTATCACTTCTTAGCAACTAAAAAACGAAACAATGAAAGACATACATGGTGTAGCATGTTATAATTATTATTATTAATAGTGTACACGTGCCGTCAAAATGACAGCAACTATTATGAAGTTTCAGCTGTGAGACGCAATGGAACAAAAATCAAGAAACAATGGATTGAGATTCTATGAAGCGAAGATAAAGAATTCCTGACGTTTCGGCCGTTATACGTTCTTCTTCACCAAGGACAGTGGATAAATACGTTCGTTGAAGTAATCCAGCAATTTGACTCAAAGTGTTGTATGTTCATTATCTGGCCACAGCAGAGGTAAACAAAAACTTGAGTTACTAAAGGGAAATAACTGAAACTTAGATACCCAGAAAAAACATGAAAAGAGAACAATCTACCCCAGTCATTGTAATATTCACAACGTTTCGGCCGTTGTACACTCCGGCCTTCTTCAGGTGATAGATGTTGGAATTTTGAACCCTTGGAAAGTGGGATTTCTAAAGGGAAATAACTGAAACTTAGATATCCAGAAAAGGCATGGAACGAGAACAATCTAGCCCAGTCATTGTCATATTCACAACGTTTCGGCCGTTGTACACTCCGGCCTTCTTCAGGTGATGGATGTTGGAATTTTGAACCCTTGGAGAGTGGGATTTCTAAAGGGAAATAACTGAAACTTAGATATCCAGAAAAGGCATGAAACGAGAACAATCTACCACCAATCATTGTCATATTCACAACGTTTCGACGTTGTACACTCCGGCCTTCTTCAGGTGATAGATGTTGGAATTTTGAACCCTTGGAAAGTGGGATTTCTAAAGGGAAATAACTGAAACTTAGATATCCAGAAAAGGCATGGAACGAGAACAATCTAGCCCAGTCATTGTCATATTCGCAACGTTTCGGCCGTTGTACACTCCGGCCTTCTTCAGGGGATAAATGTTGGAATTTTGAACCCTTGGAGACTGGGATTTCTAAACGGAAATAACTGAAGCTGTGATATACAGAAAAGGCATTCTTTCTCTAGCAATAAGATTTTTCTAGCATTTCAAATAGTTCTGTATCATCTATGAATCAGTTGTATAGATTTTTTTTCATGTGTGCTGTAACCCAGAAAGGGTTACTGAATAAGGAATAACAAAAACAGAGGTTGGAAATGAAATGGTAATCTTTATAACATCAACGAAATACAATACTCGCTAGCGGCATGAAGTAGGTAAACCACTGCTAGGGGTGGACTACTTAGACGGCAGATTACGATATTTACCTGCCTCCCACACGAGGTAGGATGCGGAACGAGGCCAAATTTAATGTGGGGAAATCCGAGCTCGTGGTCTCGGGCAAAAATTGCCCGTAGACCCCGCATAAGCAGGATCGGGTATCTGTCTACCTCCCCGGACGAGACTCTGCCCTTCGGTATAACCTCGTCCGGGATCCTCTCTGCCCATGGCGGAGAGTTCGACACGGCAAGAGCTTCCCACGCTGACAGCTCGCGCTGCCAGCTTAGACAGCATATTGCCCCCCCCCCCAACTTACAATAGTACCCAACGTATTTATCACGATTGGGACATACCCATTAGTGTTCATAGGTACTGTATATAACAATTGGTATCACTCGTTCTTAATATCATTATGATCTTTAGAAAATAAATTCTTGATCTCTTGTCTTGAACATTGTCTTTTCTGTGCCATATCCCTTCAGGACGTTGGCCATTATGGCTCCCTATGATGTGTTGTCGTTTGTAGCTCTTAATACCTTAAGTCTTTTTGCTATCTTTCTCAAAACATTTATTCGGTCAAGTTTGCTATGTAAGTTCGGCGTTTCTTTTCTCTGGTTCTCTTACCGTCAATCTGTGCTGTGAGTATTTAATTTTCTCAGCCCTCTTTCCTCATTGTATGCCCCGGGAAATTCCACCGTCTCTTCCTGATGCTAAGTATATGTGTGCTCTTTGCTGGCATCATTTCTATAACTTCTTCATTGCTCACATGGTATTCTTAGAAACCTTCTGTCGAACAACAATTCTATTGCTTCAAGTCTCTTCTTCTGTGGGGAGATTGACCAATAGTCACTGCTATATAGGAGAACTGATACTACATAACAGTTCAACAGTATTTCTTTTGTTTCTAATCATATTTTTTGTGTTTCTTAATACGTTAACTTTTGAAAGGAGTCTTTCGCTATCTCAATCCGCCTTCGGATTTCCATGATGGACTTTTCGTCCTCTGTTCATATATTTCTCATACATCTACAGTGTTTTACTTTCTCCTTAAACTTGGACAAACGGGGGAAATGTGGAGAATTCGACTCCGTGAAAATTGCAAGGCTGGTCCTAGATCTGTAAAGATTTGAACCGGTGGGACTAGAGGATGGAATTTCTCGCAATATCTACCATCGGAATATTCGTAAAATAACGGATCGATTACAACGTTGGGTGTATGTGAATGAGGATGTATAGTAGAAAATATGTACAACCCGCCATAATCGACGGATTGAGTAGCTTCAGTGCAGATATACCTGAAGGACAGTAGCAATATATGATGTGGAGAAGTGCCACAAAATAACGACCATATCTAAAAGATGTGGCACTGTTCAAGAGTTGACAAAATTTGAGTGTATTTTGCAGCATTCATTGTTCCTTCGATGATTTTCATTTTTCTTACTCCATTTGAGGAAAAACAACCCCACATCATAATATTTCCACCCCCATGTTTGACTGTAGGTATGGTATTTGCTGGTTCGTATCCCGCTTCTTTTTTCCTCCATACATGAGTGCGCATGTTTCGTCCGTAAACTTCAGTTTTCGTTTCGTCTGACCAAATTACATTGTCCCAGAAATCATTAGATTCAATTTCATATTTCTTTACAAAAATCAAACGGGCTTGTACATATCGGCGTTTCAGTAATGGAGTCTTTCTCGGTGATCTTGAAGTGAGACCTGCACGATTCAGTGATCTTTTAATTGTATCTTTAGTAACTTCACTTCCGGCATTTTTCAAATCATTCTGAATTTCTCGACGAGTTGAAAATGGATTTTTCTTCACAGTACCGGAAATGTATCGCTCATTAGCCTCATTTAATATACGGGGACGACCACTCCTTTGAATGTTTTCAATAGTATCGAATTTTTTCCATTTTCGAACAACAGCACCAACTGTATTCAAAAGCAAATTCAAATCTTGAGCGATTTTTCTATATCCCTTACCATCTTTGTGATTCTTTATGATCTTGCGCATGTCGTTCGACAATTCTTTTGTTTTCACCATTTTCTTGCAGTAGTGGCAACAGAATAGCTGCAGTGTCTCAGAGCTGTTATCTAATAGCCAGTTGAGTGTCATGCAGAGCTGTCATTGGTCGACATATGACATCATATCAATATGGGTAGGAATCATGACGACACGTCTCTTCTAGCATAATATTTGCATTGGTGTTAAATACTTTTGCATATGGGTTATTTTATTTATTGTTAATAAATGTTTCTCAAAACAGTGGTTTTAAATTTTCCTTCTCTGTTTTGATCGACAATGTTCGTTTAAATATTTCCTATAAGTTTCGTTGAAATTGATCTGTTATTTTTTGAGATATGTAAGAAAAAGCAATGTCCTAAATACTTTTGCTACCCACTGTAAGTATTTAGAGAAAAGGGAAGGATAAGAGAGAGATAGAGAAAAAAGTTTTAAAGGAAAGTCGTATATTAATTTTTTTTTATTTTGTTTATATTTTTTTATTTCTATATTTTATTTTATGTTTTTATCTAGGTTCACCACAATGATTTAGCTTTCAGATAAAAAAAAAATCTTTAGACTCAGACCGAAAATTGAAATTCTAAATTTAAAGAAATCTGTTTTAAAACATCAACTGAAATGACCATTTTCGAGACTATTTACAAGCTTAATGAAATTATCATAAAATAAATATGACTATTTCAACTCATTTTCTTACAAGGTAATGTTATGATTCTGATTATATCCATAAATCTATGTCCATATATACAACAATTTCTTCATCGCC